TCTGGCTCACATGAGAATCCCAACTTCCTTGGCTGTTTGTATAGAACCCCAAACACGGGGTCCAAAAAGAGATCATTTCCGAACAGGTACACGGAAAGACATGTTTGCACGCTTTTTTTATATTTTTTCAACAATGTAAGTGAATCATGGAAGTAGACAATGGCATGGTTTTGGGAAGACCCCCTTGGCAAGGCCCCAACACGTCCATTTCTGCATGGCTGTTCCAGAGTGAGCCAGGCTCCTTGTGAGGTGATGTTTGATGGAAACAACATACAAGATCTTCCCCCCCAACACAAAAAATGGATAAAAGGGGGTCTTGGGGGGGGTGGTTTGTTGTGGGGGTGGTCATTTGGGAAATGGTTGCCTGTTTCATTGTTGGGCGGGGGACTGACGTTTTGTTCATTTGAATGAGGTTTGCCCTTTTAGTTGTCCGATGTTCTTGGGTGTTAGGTGGTTTGGTTGGGTTTCAGCTCATCGTCCTGTTGGAGATGAAAAATGAATTATAAATACAAAAGAAGGGATATTGTAAAAGCTCTTGTGTGCCTGATACACTAATTATGCAAATTGATGAGATAGTGGAACAGAACAAACATATATATTCAATTTCAGAAAGCATGACTAAAAACCGGTATATAATAACAACAACCATCAACCGAAGAAGGTAGATAGAGTGAGTCAGAAATATAAGAACAAGCAAGGTATATATCTTAGGAAGTCAAACCATAGAGAAAGAAACGCCATGGATGATTACAAAATAGAATATGACAAGGAACTGAAACTTAATGTTTCATCATGAATTAGCACAAGTTCATGTCTCCAACGCGGTTTATTTATTCCTGCTAGTTTGTAAGTTTTACTACCCATACTATCATATTAAGTTTGATCAACTTTGAATAAGTTATTGCTCCAACGACTGACATACTCTTTTTTGTCGGTGTAATTACCCCTTTTTTTGAAACACTTTACCTGATCGTCCACCGCTATTCTGGGATTCGGATACATTATTTTGCTCTTTTCCCTCAGTTTGAGATTTACTTTTACATTCGCCTCGTTGTCGTCCTTGTGCGCTTCGGTCGGTGTCATCTTTGTTGATGAGTGCAATGTGCTGTTATACTGTTTCAATGCTGGTGCTAGGGCATCCGTCCATTTCATGTTGTTGAGCCTAACTCGGTCGTGGATTTTGTTTTGATTGTTCTATTAAAACTTTCTGCGACATTGGCATGTGTCTTTGTTATTATGTGTATTTTTTTTTTGTTAATTGTTTTTTTTGTTTATTATTTTTTTTTTGTTATAATTTTTGTTATTATGTGTGTTATGCCTTCTGTCAAACAAATGTTGGACATTGTTTTTGTTAGCGAAAGCACCACTATCGTCTGTGTATCAACTTATGGCCATCCCCATGAATTTGAAGCTTTCCTGAAGTGCGTTTACTGAAAATGTCAATTCCAACTAAAGCATACTCTGGTGTGTCTTTATCCTTAACAAGTGCTGTCATGTGCATTATATCGAATTGGTACTCCCATCTACTAAACGGCGCAGTAAAGGAATTGGTGCCTCTGTAATTATTGATTTGTTTATTTGGTTGTTTCTTTAAGACAGACTTTAATACACATTACTTATAATATCGTCTTTTGCTAATATTCTTGCCATTATACTTGCCAGAATTGTGTTTTCCGGAAAAAAGAGAGAACCAGTCTAAAACAACTACTTAAATACATATATATATATATATTAATAATAATAATAATATATTAAGAGGTAATGACACTATTGAATTATAATTATCGTCCTTGCAATTCTTAAGATGTAAAACAATTGTAGCATTAGCAAATGTTTCATCTGTTAAAGTTTGTAATATCATTGGTGATTATAGTAAAACATATTGTTTTGAATGTAGGCGGTTGAAAGAAACACGGTTTAGAGAAATGTTGAACAATTGTATTGCTGGACTAAAGTTACATTCTTGTGATAGTAAAAGGTAGAAACCAATATATAAATTGTTTGATGATGGCGTAAAAGACATGCTTAAGAATTGGAGAATGCATTATCAAGCTATAAAATCATATTGTGAAAATAGCATCGTTGAAGTTACAGAGGCTTTAACATATTGTGTCAATATTTATAGATTGACGACAATGAGGCGTGACAGTATATTCTTTCCATAAACAGCTGGTGCGAATATTGAAAACACTTATTATGTGAGAAACATATTAAGCGACTTAATTGAAACTTATAAAGACAACTTAATGAAAGGATATAAACATCATTGTTGTGAGTATGGAACGAGTTGCTATGGTGATTGTATCGCTGGTGAGATTGAATTTGGAACAGACCAACAAGCTGCTTTTTCCTATTATCAGATTATAATATGATTAAGCATTGTTAGATATTGTATCACTAAGCTTACAAGTAAGGTCCGGCAGAGCCGGGGGGCGGAAGTTTCAAAGCAGTGAACAACTATAGTTTGGAGAACTGTCCTTGGCCCCTTGCTTCTCTCTCTCTCTCTCTTTTTCTTTCTTTCTCTCTTTCTCTCTTTCTCTTTCTCTTTCTCTTTCTCTTTCTGTTTCTCTGTCTCTTTCTCTCTCTCTCTCTCTCTCTCTTTCTCTCTCTCTCTCTCTCTCTCTCTCTTTCTCTCTCTCTCTCTCTCTCTCTCTCTCTCTCTCTCTCTCTTTCTTCTCTTTCCCTTTCCAAAGCTCCCAACGAGCGCTTCAAGTTCAACTCTCCTCCCTCCCCCCCGAGAGCGCTTTTTCTTTGTGTCTGCCCAAGCCGTGCTGTAGTCTGGGCCGGAGCACGCGGCCCGAAACGGCACGCGTGTCAAGCGCAAAAGCTAGGCTTTTCTCTTCGTCTGCTTCAGCGGTGCAGCAGTCCGCGCGAGCGCGCGGCCCGACGCGGCACGCGCCGTCACGAACGCGCGGCCCGAAACGGCACGCGCGTCATCAAGCACGAAAGCTGGGCGAGGTCAAAGCCTCTTTTACTCTGGCAACCTTAGTCAACGGAGTCATTGCCATGGCGTCTTCCTGAAGACGCTTGATCTCAAGGCTGGGCTGGGAGTCCAAGGAAAGCTGCCACGCCCGACGGCGGGCAAACGGCTCGATATCTCCGTCCGCAGCCGGAAACTGGAAGATCACCTGCCAGTGACGCAAGGAAGGCTCGCCGTCCGTGTCGAACAGAACATGAGGCTTTGCAACCATGCAACAGCGTGTCAGGCCGCTGTCGCGCGATGGCCAAGCTGTCTCTGACGCTGACCACCCACATGAGGTCCGCGCGGATATCTGGCTGCGTGGCGTCTGCGCACTCGAAGATGATTCGCACTCCGCGCTCGGCTTCGTTGCACTCCTGCACAGGATCTTTGGCCGTCACTCGCAGTAAGAGCTCCGCGTACTGGACTGGCAGATCCTCACCTGCCGTAATTTGCCCTGCGTCATCCAAGTTCGCGTCTGACAAGTAGATGCAAGGGCAGCCCGGGAGTGAGGCGGCCGCGCGCAAGCACAGGAGTGGCTTTGCTGAGCCCGAGTAGGTAAGCGGAGCCTCGCGAACATGCACCACTTGCAAGGTGTTGCGCGCGGCGCGAGAGCCAGTCGGTCCAGAGTACGCTTCGTCGTGCGCCGCGACGAAGCGCACAGCCCACTTGCGGGCTCGGATCTCGTGCTCCGCATTCTCTCGCGACTGTACCGCGTCGCCCGGCCGAAACGCCAAGGCAGCACGCAGCACTTCGTCGACGCACTGGGTAAAGATCCTCGCGTCCAGCGTGGCCGTGTGATCCCACACAGTAGCCTCCAGGCTGTAGCACGGCCGGACGCCAGCTTCGTCGTGTTTGTCGCAAGTCTTGCGAAAGCAAGTGGCGCAGCCTGTGTAGTGCCTAGAGTCTTCCGGCACCCGGGACAAGGTCTGCAGGTGAGCCAGCGTGCAGAACGGTGCCTCCCACACGTCCTCGTGAGAGAACTTCTTCGCTTCGGCCGCCGGCAAAAAAGCGCCGAGCGTCGCCAGCGAGACCAATGTCGCCGGTCCGGCGCCGTAGTCTCGCGCGGCAGCGCCGCCAGCGCGCAGGGATAGTGTCTTGCAGCGCTCGCGGCCAGCAAAACAAACATTCTCGGCTTTTCACTCGCGTTTCTTACTCCATGGCCAGCGCTTGGTCGCTGCGCGCGCGCGCGGCCCGAAACGGCACGGCGGCACATGGCGTGTCCAAGTAGCACGCTCGCTGCGCAAGCACGCCCGCTCGTGTCCGCCACAAGCGGCCCGAAACGGCACGCTAGCTCGGCAAGCGCAGGTCTGGGGCGCCTGGCTTGCAAATAAGCAAAAAGGTTATCTTTGGAACCTCAACCAGGCAGAGGTGGAGCACACCAACGGAAGTGCCCAGCAAAAGTTCTTGGGGTGCCGCAGCTTCTGTTCGCTTTCAAAATGTGACGGCGCCAGAAATCTCAAAGGTTAACTTGCTAGGCTCGAGTTTGGTTCTGTTCGCCAATGTCTTCGCTGATATATAGCTCCAATAGTTCCAAATCGCTAAGCACCCCCGCAGTTTTTTCCCCGTCGATCAGGAGCTTTTGCTTCTCTTATCCCAGCGCGCGGCCCGAGACGGCACGCCCGCGGCACGACAGTTTTTCTCCGGCTGACTCTACGCACTCTGCCCACTTAGCTTTATACCACGTAGTTTTTTTCCCCGCCGATCGGGAACTTTTGCTTTTCCCATCCTAGCGCGCGGCCCGAAGCGGCACGCCCGCTGCCCGCGGCCCGAAGCGGCACGCTAGGTC